AGTCCTTGCTAAGCCGTGGTTCACACTAATGTGCCGTGGAAATGCTGTGATTCCTGTATGGGGTTTTTTTGGGGGGTCTTTTTATTCTTAAGGGGTTTTTTTTTGTGCTCTGAGAAATGCGTTCTCAAAAAATGCTGCAGGCACGTCTTCGATGCGGTGCGGTTGAAGCCATTCCAAATGAATATGCTCAAATCGCGCCGCACTAAAGCACATGTGAATTGTATAGGAATGTGGTGCGATTCACCTGTGGCTCTTAGTGGGAACCAAGGCTTCGAGGTTTTTCACAGCCACCAATCAGATTCAGACCTGCCCTGGAAGCCTAGATTTGATTGGTGACTCAGGATACAGAAAGTTCTACATTTGTACACTTTGGAAAATGCCTTCTCTTGTGATGTGTGTTCTGCATTCTGCACGAGGTTGCACAGATTTCAGGCTATAGGTATTGATCATTTTGAGGAATGTAGCAGAAAATGATGAAGAAGGGATGACCTTCGAAACGCGTCGGCCGTACTCTTGAGTGTCTACCCCTACGATGTGACTCGCACAGGCTTCACATTTCTAAAGTTCCTTTGAGAGGACTTGCATGCTTGATTTACTTCGTTGTTTGTGAGTATCATTCTGAATTTAATAAAATTATAGTTTACAGAAGTAATGCGCAAGGTTGGTGCGCTTTCTTTTTTTGTGTTTCACTTTGCAGAAAATGAGGGAAGCAGAGTTGAGTTTCAGAACAGGCATACGATCTATGTGAGATATCAATCTGGAAGTTGGTTGGATCTACTGTAATAGTTTCATAGCAGTATTGCCACGTTTGGGTGGACATGTGTTTTAAATATTCAATAGAGAAGATGGAACTTTCAGGGTGCATGAACATGAATACCAGACATATTAAAAAGTTATATAATTTTTATTTCGTATTTTTGTAAAAAAAAAAAACACAAGAAAGGAAAAAATACAGAAACATAAAAACAATTTCAGTACGAAGAGTAAAACTGAGATTCAAACTTAGTAATGTAATTGTAGTTACTCCATACATGTTTCGCCCTCACGGGCTTCTTCAGGGGAGATTTTTTGAAGATATTTCTACAGCTGAGGCAGTCTATGTATCAAAGGAAAATCAAATAAATAAATAAATAAATATATATATATATATATATATACAGTCATGGCCGAAATTGTTGGCACCCTTGATATTTCTCCAGGAAATCATGTATTTCTCACGAAACGTATTGCATTAACACATGTTTTGCTATACACATGTTTATTCCCTTTGTGTGTATTGGGACAAAACAAAAAAAGGGAGGAAAGAAAGCAAATTCGACATAATGTCACACAAACCTCCAAAAATGGGCTGGACAAAAGTATTGGCACCCTTTCACAACTGCGGATAAATAAGAATGTTACAAGCATGTGATGCTCCTGTAAACTCACCTGGGGCAAGTAACAGGTGTGGGCAATATAGAAATCACACCTGAAAGCAGATAAAAAGGAGAGACGTTCACTTAACCTTTGCATTGTGTGTCTGTCTGTGCCACACTAAGCATGGACAACAGAAAGAGGAGACGAGAACTGTCTGAGGACCTGAGAACCAAAATTGTGGCAAAATATCAACAATCTCAAGGTTACAAGTCCATCTCCAGAGAACTAGATTTGCCTTTGTCCACAGTGCGCAACATTATCAAGAAGTTTGCAACCCATGGCACTGTAGCTAATCTCCCTGGTCGTGGACGGATGAGGAAAATTGATGAAAGATTGCAACGCAGAATAGTCCGGATGGTGGATAAGCAGCCCCAAACATGTTCCAAAGACATTCAAGCTGTCCTGCAGGCTCAGGGAGCATCAGTGTCAGCGCGAACTATCCGTCGACATTTAAATGAAATGAAACGCTATGGCAGGAGACCCAGGAGGACCCCACTGCTGACACAGAGACATAAAAAAGCAAGACTACAGTTTGCCAAAATGTACTTGAGTAAGCCAAAAGCCTTCTGGGAAAACGTCTTGTGGACAGATGAGACCAAGATAGAGCTTTTCGGTAAAGCACATCATTCTACTGTTTACCGAAAACGGAATGAGGCCTACAAAGAACAAAACACAGTACCTACGGTAAAATATGGTGGAGGTTCAATGATGTTTTGGGGTTTTTTTGCTGCCTCTGGCACTGGGTGCCTTGACTGTGTGCAAGGCATCATGAAATCTGAGGATTACCAAAGGATTTTGGGTCGCACTGTAGGGCCCAGTGTCAGAAAGCTGGGTTTGCGTCCAAGATCCTGGGTCTTCCAGCAGGACAATGACCCCAAACATACGTCAAAAAGCACTCAGAAATGGATGGCAAAGAAGCGCTGGAGAGTTCTGAAGTGGCCAGCAATGAGCCCAGATCTAAATCCCATTGAACACCTGTGGAGAGATCTTAAAATTGCTGTTGGAAAAGGGTGTCCTTCCAATAAGAGAGACCTGGAGCTGTTTGCAAAGGAAGAGTGGTCCAAAATTCCGGGTGAGACATGTGTCAGAAGCTTATTGATGGTTATAGGAAGCGACTGATTTCAGTTATGTTTTCCAAAGGGTGTGCAACCAAATATTAAGTTAAGGGTGCCAATACTTTTGTCCAGCCCATTTTTGGGGTTTTTGTGTGACATTATGTCATATTTGCTTTTCTGCCTCTGTTTTATATTTGTTCCAATACATACAAAGGGAATAAACATGTGTATAGCAAAACATGTGTTAATGCAATACCTTTTTTGTGTGAAATACTTGATTTTCAGGAAAAATATCAAGGGTGCCAACAATTTCGGCCATGACTGTATATATATATATATATATATATATGGGACTCAACTCAATGGCTCACCCTGGATGTGAAAGCTCATGGAGCTAGGAGAAGATGACCTAACAAAGATCTCAATTGGCCTACACATCCAAAACCGTTGTAGAGGATATAATGGGAATCAAATATCATCTAGGTATAATAGGATAGACAAAAAAGAAGTTAATTAAATTTAATGGAAGATATGAAAAAGGGATCATAATTCATTAGGTTAAGGTTAACTTTGGGCAATTTTACCTGTTAAATGCTTTAGAAGAATATATACTTTTTTAAGATCTAATTGACCTATACATCCACAACCATAGGAGAGAAAACCATGGACATTAAACATCCATCTAGACATAATAGGATAGACAAAGAGATCAGAAACTAATTTAATTTAAAAAAATAAATCAATAGGTGTTAATTAATAAAAATTAAGCAATTTTACCTGTTGAAAATTGTGTTTTTAAAGTCCAGCTACAACCAAAACTTTTTTTTTTTTTTTTTTTTTTTATATATATATATTTTTATTGGAATAGGCTTTATACTGCTGCTTGTGTTTCCTTTTGAAAAGGGTTTTCTTGTATAGTCTCCAGGATAGGAAGTGAGGGGAAATCTCCCTTACCTGGGACTACGTCGATGATGATGATAAAACTCTGACAAAGGCTCTGAACCTTCCCCACTTTACTAGCTATTCTACTCCTGTGCTCAGTGGTGTATTTAGGTTTTGTGCTGCCCTAGGCAACACAAAAATCAGCGCCCCCCACAGAGAAACCCTGACATTGACCACGAGCACCCCTGCCCCCCACCCGTGAAAATCTTCCACTACCACTGCCCCCCCCCCATACATCAGCCACCATCCCCCGTGGCGAGAGAGAGAGACACTCACCTTCACAGCTCCGGACATCCCTGGGAACGAGAGTCGGGCTGTGCGTATGACGTCATGAAGCCCACAGCCTCTCTTGGAACCCACCAGGTCCCCATGCCGCGTGTCCCTTCTGTCCCTTCTTCCAAAGGGCAGTGGGCCTCGCCCCTGAAAAATGCTGCCCTAGGCAAATGCCTTGTGGTAAATACACCCCTGTCCTGACCAGTGACCTCAGTGAGGACAAATCTATCTTTTTATTTCACAAATTTGTTGTCCAGCACTCTCCCTATCAAAGGTTTCCCTCCCCTGGAATGTTTGACCTTGGTTCTGACACACACGGGTTAAAATGGCAAGTAAAGTTTAATTTCCCACGTCTGTGGCTTTTTAAATTGCAATTCATGTCTGTGTGTAAATAGTCAGAGTTTGTTAGCTCTCACGTGGATGTGCTGAGCAGGCTAGATACTGAGCCATGGGGAGCAGAAAAGAAATGCCAAAAGACCTGTGTAACAAGATAATGGAACTTTATTAAGATGGAAAAGGACATAAAAAGATATCCAAAGCCTTGATGATGATGCCAGTGAGCACTGTGCAATCACTTAAGAAGTGGAAAATACGGGAGGTCCCTTACAGTAATCTGTGTTCACAGCAGGCACCAGATCACGGTGCCGGGCGCTCCCAGGGAGCACACACAATCCAAAACGGCAGTCGCCGTTTATGAAGGGCAACCCGCCCCTACACTGCCACCGACTAGCTGTTTTATATACAGCGGCCGGATGGGAAGTGGTTAAATTGCAATTCATGTCTGTTTGTAAATAGTCAATGAATTTGTTAGCTCTCACGTGGATGCACTGAGCAGGCTAGATACTGAGCCATGGGGAGCAGAAAAGAAGTGCCAAAAGACCTGTATAACAAGGTAATGGAACTTTATAAAGATGGAAAAGGACATAAAAAGATATCCGAAGCCTTGATGATGATGCCAGTGAGTACTGTGCAATCATTTATTAAGAAGTGGAAAATTTGGGAATCACTTAATGCCAAGATCAAGTAGACCAAGAAAGACTGCAGCCACAACTGCTGCAGGTAGTAAACCTTACCCACAGTAAGGGAACCATTCTCACTTCTGCCCTGGTGATCACAAAGGAAGTGATGTTGAATCTCTCCAGCGGGGACAGACTTCAATAAAAACATACCACTCTATCCAAAACTAGGAGAAAAAAAAAAAAGGTTTTGGCTGCAGCTGATCTGCCATGTTTGATCACTAGTAGATGATTGCACAGAGTACACAAACTTGTGTTTGGTCACCTTTATAATCGATGTTTGCTGCTTCCATTGCAGGAGGACTCTGCGGGCGACAGTTGGCTGCTTCACGGACACAGAACCCTTGGCACAGAGATGGTGTTGAAAAAGGTAAAATTATGAAAGTTCTCTATTTGTTGTTCATACGCGCCAAGAACTTGTGTAATGCCTGGAGCCAATCTACTTACAGCTGGATGAAAACTACGTGTCATTTCAGCGAGCCAATGTGCCGTCATTGTTGTCACCATTGAAGCCCAGAAAAATCCTGTCCATGTGCCAGAAATGCCTTTTGTCTCCTAATTTCATTTTTGAGGACTAGTGGCGCCAGTCCTTCCCAACTGTTTTTTTTTTTTTTTTTTTTTTTTTTTTTTTTTTGCTAAATTACTGAATCCCGTCCTCTCTGTCCTTATCCCTTCAACACACAGTTGTGCTCAAAAGTGTGCATCCCCTGGCAAACATTGTGGACTGTCGGCACCGACATTGAAAATATGAACGATCATGCCAAAAAAACTGACTTATTAAAGGCGTGTGATTGTAAGGCATTTATCATACAGTTGTTTTGGCTCCTTTTTTAACCACTTCAAGTCCGGACACTTTTACCCCCTTCCTGTCCAGGCCAATTTTCAGCTTTCAGCGCTATCGCACTTTGACAATTGTGTGGTCATGCAACACTGTATCCATATGAATTTTTTAGCAGTTTTTTGAGACAGATAAAACTTTATTTTGGTGGTATTTATTCACACCGCTGGGATATTTATTTTTGTTTGCTATATAAATGAAAAAGTCCAAAAAGTTTGCAAACTTTTATAAAAACACTTTTTTTTTTTTCCAAATAATCTTTCTTCATACATCTTGGCCACAATGTATTCAGTTATATTTTTAGTAAAAAAAAAACCCTAATTAGTTTATAACCAACAATTATAATTTTTCCAAAAATTTTTTTACATTATTTATTTTTATATTTGTTTTTTTTTTTTTTTTTTTTTTTTTTTTTTTTTTTTTTTTTAAACATGCTGTCACCCTAGCAGTACAGTGTCACCATAGTGACACTGTACTAGTTGTGGGGGGGTGATGATTTTTTTTTTTTTTACACCCATAAAGGCTGTAAAAGCAATCATTTCTCATTCTCTCTGGCTGCATTCTTGCAGCCATTGAGAAATACTGTGAGAGCTGTGATTGGTCACAGCTTGTCACATGGCACAAGGCTGTTGTGAATAGCCTTGTACCATGTGACAAGCTGTGACCAATCACAGATTTCACACGTAGTAAGCAATGATTTCAGAAGTGACATCTTGCTTACTCCTATTCATGTGATCACTGATTGGCCAGTCAGTGATCACATGATCAGGACCTCACACAGAGGTCCCTTAAAGCGATCAGTGTTCCGCTGTGTCCCGAGGACACAGCGGGCACCGGATTGCAGTGCCGCGCGCTCCCAGGAAGCGTGCACAATCCAAAATGGTTGGCGCCGTTTATGAACGGCATCCCGCCCCTGCACTGCCACCGACCAGCCGTTTATATACAGCGGCCGGATGGGAAGTGGTTAAATTGCAATTCATGTCTGTTTGTAAATGGTCAAAAAGTTTCTTAGCTCTCACGTCTATGCACTGAGCAGGCTAGATACTGAGCCATGGGGAGCAAAAAGGAACTGTTAAAAGACCTGTATAACAAGGTAATGGAACTTTATAAAGATGGAAAAGGACATAAAAAGATATCCAAAGCATTGATACCAGTCAGTACTGTGCAATCACTTATTAAGAAGTTGAAAATTTGGGAATCCCTTAATGCCAAGATCAAGTAGACCAAGAAAGTCTGCAACCACAACTGCCAGGAGATGTTTGAGTTACAAAGAAAAACCCACAAGTAAAAATACAGGCTGCTGTGGAAAAAGACGGTGTGATTGTTTCAAGGAGCACAATACAACAATACTTGGAACAAAATGAGCTGCATGGCGGAGTTGCCAGAATAAAACCTTTACTGCGCCAATGCCAAAAAAAAGCCTGGACTTTTTTGTGGCATTGGCACAGTTCATTGTTAGTTATTACGTACTTTAAAATTTCAGACTAGGTCCGCATTAGGTGATTTAAGGATTCAGTTGAGTATCTAATTTGTGTTCCTGTTGTTTTTTGTTTTTTTTTGTTCTGGCAGCCCAGCGTCACATACCAGGCAATCAGCAAACGACTTAAAGTATCAGAAGAGGTAAAAAGCTTACTTTTGAAGTCCATGGTTTGGTCTGTCTCATCTGATGCTCCAGATCAATAACATTTGTTCTCTGTGTGCAGGACACTGGTTCAACGTCAATCCAAGCAGCAGACAGCACAGCTATCAATGGCAGTATCACCCCCACAGATAAAAAGTAGGTCTTCTGCCAAACACGGCTCTTGCACTTCATCGTTCTGTAGGCTGCTCAGTATGTGCCTTATGATTGGTTAATTACTGTCTATGGGTTGTAGTTTTTGTGAATGGATCCTAAGATGACTCGTGTGTGGCCCCCCAGGAAGGTGTCCTAAAATGAAAGATCCCAGTGTTGACATACACACAACGGAGTATTTACCACAAGGCATTTGCCTAGGGTGGCATTTTGCAAGGGGGGGGGGGCAGCAGCAGTTTTCAGGGGGGCAACGCCAAACCCCCAAAAGATGGGATGGAAGAAGAGACACACGCAGGGTGAGGACCAAGTGGGATATGAGAGAGGCTGCAGGCTTCTTGATGGTGTATGCAGAGCCTGACTCTTGTTCCTTGGGATGTCTGGAGCTGAGCTGTGAAGGTTAGTGTCTATCTCTCGCCGGGGTGGGGGCGGGTATCAGAAGGCTCTTTTGGGTGGGGGGGGCTGGGGTGTTGTTGGTCAATGTCAGGCTCTCTTTATCTTCATGGGGGATAGGGGTGTTGGTTGGTGTCAGGGTCTCTCCATGGTGGTGGGGGGGAGGGGTAGCAGAAGGCTCTTTTGGGTGGGGGGGCTGGGGTGTTTTTGGTCAATGTCAGTCTCTCTTCATCGGGGAGGGGGGTGTTGGTCGGTGTCAGGGTCTCTCCATGGTGGTGGGGGTGCTGGGGTGTTGTTGGTCAATGTCAGTCTCTCTTCATGGGGGAGGGGGGTGTTTGGTCAGTGTCAGGGTCTCTCCATGGTGGTGGGGGTGCTGGGGTGTTGTTGGTCAATGTCAGTCTCTCTTCATCTTCATGGGGGAGGGGGTGTTGGTCGGTGTCAGGGTCTCTCCATGGTGGTGGGGGTGCTGGGGTGTTTGGTCAATTTCAGTCTCTCTTCATCTTCATGGGGGAGGGGGGTGTTGGTCGGTGTCAGGGTCTCTCCATGGTGGTGGGGGTGCTGGGGTGTTGTTGGTCAATGTCAGTCTCTCTTCATCTTCATGGGGGAGGGGGGTGTTGGTCAGTGTCAGGGTCTCTCCATGGTGGTGGGGGTGCTGGGGTGTTGTTGGTCAATGTCAGTCTCTCTTCATCGGGGGGAGGGGGGTGTTGGTCAGTGTCAGGGTCTCTTCATGGTGTTGGGGCTGGGGTGTTGTTGGTCAATGTCAGTCTCTCTTCATCTTCATGAGGGAGGGGGATGTTGGTCGGTGTCAGGGTCTCTCCATTGTGGTGGTGGGAGGGGGAGGGGTGGTAGCCGATTTTTGTGTTGCTTAGAGCAGCATGAAACCTAAATACACCACTACACACACACAGAGGTGTATCACAGGTTTGGTTATTTCTATGTTGGCCAGGGTAGAGGATGTCAAACCTGTCTTTTGGCTCCCCTAATAGAAAGCAATACAGGGGAATCTGTATTTCCGTGGAAACCCCTCGGGGTTCTTTTCCTGTTTCACATTGTTAACATTTTGTATTTCAATGGTTTTTATGAATTTAGTAAACATTTCAACAAGACTTGAGCAACAAGACAAGCCCACGCAGGGGCTATCAATGGCACATAAATGACAAAAACAGTGATATAACACTGACAGTAGCTCAAACTAAAGGCAGCTATCCACCACCTCATAAAAGACAAACAAAAATAGAAAGGAAAAAGGAGTAGAAAAGGAAGAAAAGACCAGGAGCTGGGGTCCAGGAACGCCAATACCGAACAACATCACAAACCCAGACTAGCGGGGGGGAGCATAGGAATAGTACATGTCGACCACGGCTCCCATATTTTCAAAAATGTGCGTTGGGAGTCCTTACAGATACTTGACATCTGTTCATTAAAGCGGAGCTCCACCCAAAAGGGAAAGTTCCGCTTTTAGGACTGCTTCCCATTAAGGATTGGCACCTTTGGGGGGGTTTGACAGGTACCTGCTCCCACTTCCGCTCCGATCACCTAGGTGATTGAAAGCGGAAGGTGTCCTCCCTCCCCTGTAGTCTTTTGGGACACGTGACAGGTCCCAGAAGACTACAGGACCATTCATGAAGCACAGCACTACTCGCGCATGCGCGGTGGGTACCCGGCTGTGAAGCCGCAAGCTGTCACAGCCGGGTGCCCACACTGAAGATCCCGGCCTCCTGGAATACAGGACAGCCGGTGAAACGGGCTGCGGGGGACACACCGAGGGACAGGTAAGTGGTAGTTTTTTTAAAAGTCAGAAACTACAGTTTTTGTAGCTGCTGACTTTTATTTTTTGAAAGCGTGAGTGGAACTCCGCTTTAAGCATCAAGTGGTCATATGGTCCCGCACCCCCTGAAGAGGGACAGACTGGCTCTTCCATGCCTGAGCAATTGTTCTAGTTGCCAACAAGAACAAATGGGAAGCCAACATCTGCTGGTGAGCCAACAGGCCCGGTATGGGACAATGAAGCAAAGCGTACTGAGCATCCCGGCGTATGGAACAAGGACAAAAGGAGGCCAAATACACGAGACCAAAAACGAATCAGTTTAGGGTATGACCACCATATATGCAACACATCTCCAAGATGGCCACAACCCCGAAGGCATCGATCACTGCAGGCAGGGTTCGCCTGGGCCAAACAAGCCGGGACCCAATACCAACGAAACATCACTTTGTATGCCACCTCCAGAGTGGTGTTAGCTATAAAGGACCAGGCCCTATTCCAGTCCTCCAGATCCATGACCGCCCCTTAGGTCGCGCATTAACATTTTGTTGCATTAAGGCAGCACATTCATTTTACATGGGCTGCCAATGGACAGGAACCGACCAAAAAAATTGAGCATTTATTTCACAACGAATGCACAGTACTATGTTATTGCGTGTTGTTTTACTACATTGGGGTGAGGTTTCAAAATGAGAGGCGTTACAATGCAATAAATCGGTGGTCTCAAAACTATGGTCCGGGGGCCGGATGTGGTCCTTTTTCTTGTCTTTATCTGACCCGTGGGGCACTATTCCACCAATGATGAGACACCATTCCTCCCACTGACAATATCAGTGGCACTATTCGTCCCATTGCTACCAATAATGGGCCCTTCATTCCATTAAAACCAATTATGGGGCATTGTTTATGCCCACTGATGCCGGGGCATTTTCTGTTCCCACTGGCAACAGTCCGGCCCTACTTAAAGTCTCACCAAAGATCCATTATCTCCTGCGCTCAAAGACTCAGATCAAACAGGCGTTAGTGACAAGCAGCGTGTTGTGTGTTCATCTGCTGGTGATCAGAGGTTGTGCAGCTCTATCATGAAGCTGGGGAAGCTTGATAAAACTGTAGAAGAAGATGAAAGAGAGTGCACAAACCTTGCGCATTACCTCAATAAATAGTGACTAATTTTGTTATTAAGGAAATATAGTCACAAAGTGATGGTATAACAGGCATAAGTAACCATAATCCAAACAGGATTACAGGTAAATCCAAAAGGGGGGGGATGAAGGCTAACGTGTTTCGAAGGGTGCTCCCTTCTTCATCAGAGCTGGGTTGAGCAGATAGAGACTTCAGTATGGCAGAGTTCCCATGGCAAGGAGATATTCAGCCACTGAGTGTCGGTATTACAGCAGTTCAGCCTGTTTAGTGTCACTAAAGCCTCAGACACTGAAGTCTCTACCTGCTCAACCCAGCTCTGATGAAGAAGGGAGCACCCTTCAAAACGCGTTAGCCTTTATCCCCCCCCCCCCCTTTTCGATTTACCTGTAACCCTGTTTGGATTATGGTTACTTATGCCTGTTATACCATCACTTTGTGAGTATATTTCCTTAATAATAAAATTAGTCACTATTGTTGAGGTAATGCGCAAGGTTTGTGCGCTCTTTCTTTCATCTTCCCCACTTAAAGTCTGAAGGACAGTAAACTGGCCCTTTGCTTAGAAAGTTTGGAGACCCCTGCATTAAGTTATGTAAAATGAATGGAAATAAAGATATAGCACTGCCCCTACTAGTAAAAGTGTTGTATAAATGTCAAAAAAATGAGTGGCTCCCCCACTAATAAATGGTGTTCCTAAGTGCTGACAAAAGCTCCTAGTGTGCAAAATTCCTATCTCCCTAGGAGAAATCAGTGCATACTACAATACACCTCCCCCTCTTTTGTGTAAGCAAAGGGAGGTGTGTGCAGAAAATAATAATGGTGCAAAGAAACAACTGGTTAGTGAAAAGTGCTAGGTTGACACTTCTGTGTTCATTTTGTTTCTCCAGGATCGGCTTTTTGGGCTTGGGGTTGATGGGAAGTGGCATAGTCTCCAACCTTCTGAAGATGGGGCACACGGTGACGGTGTGGAATCGGACTGCAGAGAAGGTAATGACGCCTCTTTACTCTGTATTTACAGTAAACCTTACAGACTGTTTAATCGCCTCCTGCCCTCCATATGAGGAAATGACGGGCGCAAGGCGGTTCTCTCGTTCTGGGAGGATGTCATAGGACGTCCTCCCACTCTAACCGCAAGTAGATCTCCACTTCTTAATGTTGAAGCTTGCCTTGCTTTTGTCTCATTTTTTTTTTTTTTTTCTCCCTTGCAGTGTGACCTGTTCATCCAAGAGGGGGCACATTTAGGAAGAACTCCAGCAGAAGTGGTCTCTACTTGTGACATTACGTTTGCATGTGTGGCAGATCCTAAAGCAGCAAAAGATGTACGTTGTTTGTTTCATCTATGTATATATATATATAATATATATGTGTGTGTATATTATCATTTTTTTTTTTTTTTTTTTTTTTCTTCTCAAAGGGTCAACCTCCAAAAAAAAAAAAAAAAAAGTTTTTGTTACATGTGGAGTTTGTCATGTTACCCATTCATTTTCTTGGGGACTTTGCTGTTATTTGCTTTGTTCCCTCCCACCTTGGGATGTTCCCACTTTTTTCCATAATATTGAATGAGTACAATGGTGCAGCACAGTGAGGGGGAGACTCTTGTATGGCTAGGTTTGCTTCACTCTCTAACAAGACAAGTAATTGTTGGGTAGCGTAGACCGGAGTGGAGAGGTTTGTGTGTACAGGACACCTGAATAGTTTTTGTTTAAAGCGATTTCTAAAGGTTCATTATTGTTTTTTTTTTTTTTTTTTTGGTTTTGTTTTGTAAAATAACAAACATGTTATACTTACCTGCTGTGTGCAGTGGTTTTGCACAGAGCAGCCAGGATCCTGCTCTTATTAGGTCCCCCGTAGGCTCTTCTGGCCCCTCCCTCCTGTCGGGTGCCCCCACAGCAAGCAGCTTGCTATGGGGGGCACCTGCTGCTCTGTGTGTCCATTCACACACGGAGCCGCGACTTTGCCCCTCTCTCTCATCATTGGATGACTGGCGGTGATTGACAGCAGCGGGAGCCAATTATAGGTGCAGCGCTAATATAAAGATATTAATACCATGCTAAATGATAAAAATTAATATCCAGCAATATGAATCATTGTTAGTCCACTGATATATAAAGTGAAAATAGTGCTGATTAAAGTGACCAACATATTGGTATTAATAAATATATAAAGTGACAAAGCATTCAGTAAGGTGAATATTGGTGTATAAAGTGCAAAAAGTCCACATATATTAGTAGATGTAAAGTCCCAATACAAGATCTCGGGTTAGAAGTGATCCCCTTTAAATCTTCTGGCGATAAATCAAGTAATAGAATTGCGCACTCACCAGATGCGCAATAACATACCGCATTTGAGAACACAATCTCCCAGAAGGTCAGCTGGATCCTCTTATAGGGCGTCTACAACCTGGCATGGATTCCTCCTACACTATAAATAGGACACAGAGGACGTCAGGCGTTGTTAGCATACCCCTATGAGTATGTGCTAGAGCACGAAACGCGTCAGCAGGAGCTACAACGCCATGGCGTCACGCCGCTGAGGCCCCTTGCAGGTCCAGAGGCCATCTTACCTACACATATGGTCAGTTATTTCTGGCTGTTTACTTTGTTGTTACCTGTGATTGGATAATAAACCCTCTGAAAGCAGTATCACGCTATGTGGCATCCTTTCTTGGGCTCTTGATGAGTCTAACCACCCACAGAGTCACTTGATGAGAGAAGGAAGTTGCTGCTATCCATGGTTACCCAGGGAGGAATCCATGCCAGGTTGTAGACGCCCTATAAGAGAATCCAGCTGACTTTCTGAGAGAATGTGTTCTCAAATGCGTGATGTTATTGCGCATCTGGTGAGTGCGCAATTCTATTACTTGATTTATCACCAGAAGATTTAAAGGGGATCACTTCTAACCCGAGATCTTGTATTGGGACTTCACGTCTACTAATATATGTGGACTTTTTGCACTTTTTACACCAATATTCACCTTACTGAATGCTTTGTCACTTTATATATTTATTAATACCAATATGTTGGTCACTTTAATCAGCACTATTTTCACTTTATATATCAGTGGACTAACAATGATTCATATTGCTGGATATTAATTTTTATCATTTTGCACGGTATTAATACCTTTTATATTCGCGCTGCACCTATATTTGATATATTGATTTTGGGAGGTTGTTTGGTAACTTTTATTGGTGTCTCAGCTGCTTATCTATAGCGCTCACTTCGGTGTTTTATGCTCAGCGGGAGCCAATTGCTCCCGCTTGCTGTCTCAGCCAATGAGGAGGCAGAGACCTGGGACACATCGCTGGATTATGATGAGGCTCAGGTAAGTATTGAGGAGGCTGGGGGGGCTGCTGAATACAGGTTTGTTTACCTTCATGCATATAATGCATGAAGGTTAAAAACTTTCAGCCTTTACAACCACTTTAAGCCCTGAATCACACTGATGCGGTGCAGAATTTTCAGCGTTTTCAGTGCGAATTCCACACCGCATCCGAATCGCACCCCATTCATGCAAACCGCTGCGGGTGTGTATGTTAACAACACCCCTACATCGGTCCGAAAAAAAAAACGCGGTGCGATGTGCAGAATCTGATTGCATAGGTGTGAATACCCATGCAATCCGATTCTAGTGCGGACCCAAAAAAAGGGTCCTGCACATTTTGGGTGCGGCGCGAATGTATGGCTCCAATCGCACCGCACACAAATCTCAAGTGATTTGTACAGGAATGTGGTGCGGTTCCTGTGCGAATTACATGTGATATACCGCACCACATATATGTGAACCCAGGCTAAAGCTGAACTTGGGACAAACTGTCCACCAAATGTCTTTGCCAACCCAGTTATTACATTGTTTGAAGCAGAGAATTTCACACTGGATTACTGCACGAATCTGGAAAAAATACACAATACACACCAAGATTCCAGTAACAATACCCATGCCTCGGACAATATTTACTTATGCTGAAACTATAAATATACACTCACCGGCCACTTTATTAGGTCCACCTGTTCAATTGCTTGGTAACACAAATTGCTAATCAGCCAATCACATGGCAGCAACTCGGTGCATTTAGGCATCTAGATGTGGTGTAGACAACTTGCTGAAGTTCAAACCGAGCATCAAAATGGGGAAGAAGGGGGATTTTTTTTTTAATAACATTTTATTAAATTTTCCACATGTATATACTTACATGACATTTTAAAGAGAAATTAAAATAAAGAAAAACAAAGGGATCATCGATGCTAGTAACATGGGTAGAAAAATAACAGTATGCAATGACAATAGGGCAGCAGTGGAAGGATGATCAAGTCCGCACAAGTCAAGCAGGTTGACCAGAGGTGTAAACATCCCACGGGTTCCATACAGCTTCAAATGAGATTATAGAATCGGCGTGTGAAGCGGTTAGATATTCCATTTTTCTGATATCTGCAATAATCTTAAATAATGTCAACATTGAGGGGGGTGTAGGGGAGAGCCAGCTCATTGGAATGCTTCTCCTGGCCGACATCAAAATATGCACGGAGAGTCTCCTCGATGGTCTAGAGAGACCTGGAAAGGGAGGCCCAATAAAAAATAAAGAGGCTCAAAAGGGAGAGCGGTATGTAATACCAGTTGTAGTAAGGCCAAAACCTCTTCCCAAAAGGGAGTGATAAGCCTACAATCCCAAAAAATGTGAAAAATGGAGCTGGTTTCCCTCCCACAGCGCCAGCAGACAGGAGAAGCACTCGGGTTACAAGAATGGAGCACATCAGGGGTTCGATAGCACAACATTATGATTTTGTAAGCATTTTCCTTATAAACTACACACACAGAGGATTTGGATGCGTTCTCCCATATTTTCTTCCAGTGCAACAAGTCAATGTCAAAGCGGAGAAACTGGGACCACTTACGCATATAGCGATGGGTATCAATAGTTAAGGGAGGGACATCCAGCAGGAACTTATATGTATTGGAGACTGTGCCCTTTTGATGTGGGCCCTGAATACACAGGCGCTCAAAGGGTGTAGGCTTCTCCAGAGTCAATGAAGGTGACAGAGTGGAGAAAAAATGGCATATCTGGAAATAAACATAGAAGTGTTGAGAAGGTATTAGGGTATTTTTTTTGGATGTCAGAAAATGATTTAAATTTCCGAGTTACGGGATGGACCAGATGACGCAGTTGGAAAAGATCGGCTGAGGCCCATGGGAGCATTCAGTGTAAGGACAAACTATCCGGAAGGGAGGGATTAAAGAGAACGTTAGTCAGAGGGGAGCACTCGGAGGACAAAGCGAATTTAGCCCTGCATCTCCTCCAGATAGACCAGGAGAATTGCATGGGTCCAAGTAACAGGTGTCAGTGAGAAGCGATGGCCACCGCTGACATATCCCAGAGCAGAGAGAAGAAAGGGGATTTAAGTGACTTTGAACGTGGCATGGTTGTTGGTGCCAGATTGGCTGGTCTGAGTATTTAAAAAAATTACTGGAATTTTCACGCACAACCATCCCTATGGTTTATAAAGAATGGTCCGAAAAAGAGAAAATACTAAATGAGTGGCAGTTGTGTGGAGGAAAATGCCTTGTTGATGTCAGAGGAGAACGGGCAGACTGGTTGCTGCAACATTCAGATGGTAGGGTCAGAATTTGGCATAAACAACATGAAAGCATGGATCCATCCTGCCTTGTGTCTCAGGCTGGTGGTGATGTAATGGTGTGGGGGAGATTTTCTTGGCAGTAGCAAGGTGGACCTAATAAAGTGGCCGGTGAGTGTATATTTTTACACGCACACACACACACGCACGCACATGCAAACAAATGGAAAATGGGTTATTTGGTCTTGCACATCTCTTTCCATCATTGTATAAGACTGATAATTGTAGAGGCCTTATGTCAGATGAATTGGAGGTTTGGGTAAGATTTGCCATTTCATCAATATAACACGACATTAATGTTTGTTTCTCCCCTCTGCCAGTTGGTGTTAGGTCCCAGCGGAGTGCTGCAAGGCATCCGTCCAGGAAAATGTTACGTTGACATGTCCACTGTGGATCCAGAAACAGTCATTGAACTAGCCCAGGTAATATTTGTAGCAAAGCTGACAATGGATTTTGATTTTATTTGCTATCAGTTTGATCATTTGTCAATGGAATAGGAGAGGTTTAAGACAACTTAAATTGTTGCTGTCTGTTCCCAAAGATGGACGTGAAGTGAAATCTCTGGTTGGGATGCATACAGACAGCAACAAAAACAGAGTGAAGA